CAGTTAGTTTCAGTCAACACCAACACCAACACCAACAACGATAGTGATGTCCAAACACACGACAACCCATTTGTTCTTCCAATTCAACGACTCGTCCGGCAGTTCGGCCAACAAATTGAATCCGTACGGCAGCGGCGGCCAACAGACTGCATCGTCCACTAGAAAACCGGCCAAACGTAGCACAAGTAGTTCATTGCACCAGGAGTTTAGCGATCCGTTCGACTATTACGACTACTTTTCCAATTATGGCCGATACGCTGGTACGCCACCGCTTATGTCGCCGGCGGTCAACCATTCAGTGGCCGGACGCGAGTCAATGAGGGACAGGGAGTACAGGTATTACAGCTAAATGTTTTTAATTTTTTAAAAATATAAAGTTATATCTATATAGAAAAAAATATTATTATTTATTTATTTATATATTAAATATATTATAGCCTTTAATAATATTAATGTATAAATTGTTTAATTATTTTTTTTATTAGATAACATATTTTAAAAAAATTAATTAAATTAAATTAACAATAACTTAAAAATTTTATTTATAAATTTCTATTGAAAATAGCGTTTTTGAAAATTTTTATCTAAATTTGCAAATAAAACAATTGTTTTGCTAGTATCTAATTTTTTTAGTATTATAATTGATATTTAATTACATTATAATTTTGTTCAGTTGTTTTGTTAAAGTTTTTCTAACATTATATATAAGTTATATACTTTTTTGCTAGTATTTATAATATTAAAAACAATATTTAAAAAACTGATATAAATTTTTTTTAAAATAAATAACTGTATACTAACTATAAATAATTCTAATAATTTTATTTTAATAATAGTTTAAATTAAGTACATTATTGATCTATAATTATTATAATAATAATAATAATATCAATATACAGTATTTATAAAAAATAAATTATTTAAACTTATAAACTCTTCAAAAATTTTCGTATATTTTAAGTTTATTATTATATTATTATTTATTGAAAGTTTTGTGATTTTTTGTTATTTAATATATTTATTTCTAAATTAATCTACTATTAAAAAAAAACATACTAACAATTTATTTATGATAAATTAATTAATTTGTATAATTAATTAATTTTAATTATTATTATTATATAATTCTAATTTCTACTTTACTTGTTTTTTGCAATTATATATTAAATATTATATTAAATTATTTTTATTAAAATATAATAATAAAAGAAAATTATGAATAAATATAAAACAAATATGAAATCATTTTTTTTGATAGTTTTATTATTTCAAATATACAATATATTGCTTTAGGGCATTTAGTTTAATATTATCTTTTTTTGTGGATATACTGTATATATATTTTGTATATATATATATATATATCTAAGATAAACACATAGACATAAAAAAGTTTATTAGGTTTATATATGATATATATTTATTTAATACTATTATTAGTATACAATGTATATATTGTTTAAACATATATATACATAGTCCAAAAAAATATAATAATAAAATAAAATTTTTATACTATTGTTTTTGTTTAAAACTAAATTGATTTTATTTGTTGAAAAAATTTTTAATAAATAAATAAATAGATATTTACTACAACAAAAAAATATGTTTTATTTTTGATCTTATATATTATAAAAATTTATTTTAATAATATTTATTTTATTTATAATAATTAAAAAAAAATGTTTGCATTTAAAAGTGATAAAAAACTAATAGTTTTTAATTTTTTTTAAAAATATTTTTTTCATATCTATACTAAAACATTGAATCAATTATATTATTTAGATATAACGATGAAAGCCGACGGGCCTATTCAGGGGACAGGGATGCCGGCGGTGGTGACCGGCGCTACTATCGCCAGCCGACAGGTTCGGCCGCCGCCACACAAAAGTATACCGATGTTGTCTACAATGTTGATTCACCGGACAAATACTATCCGCGCGGTTATTCTGCACAACTGTTCAACGATAATAACCATCACAACAACGTCGTCGTCGACGACGACGAGGAGGACGACTCTGACCGTAACCGTCAACAACAACAACACCACAACCATCACTACCAACAACAACAACAACAACAACAGCAACGATATCATAGGGCCGGCGATCTGGCGCTCATGGATGCCAATGAACAGTCAGCTAATATGTCGCCAACACTGTTGCCGCCGATGACATCGCCGCCAAACGATTTGTTGCAACTGTCCGGCGGTGGTGGTGGTGGCGTCGGCGGCACCCGAATAGGGTCGGCGCCGCCGTACTCGTTATTCGGACGGGACGGCAGTTGTCTGCATCGGATAACGTTTATCGAGACACACAACTATCAGCCCCTGGATCTGCCTTCACCGTCATCGGGGTCGTCAGCGTCGCCATTGTTGACCACATCGACGACACTTAACTATCATCATCATCCTCATCATCCCAGTGCCAGACATCATAAAACCGCCGCCGCTGCCTCTATACCGCCACTACCGCCTCCCGGCCACCATCACGATTGGGTCTGTGCACAGGTACGCACATTAAGGGCCAATTTTGATCACCCGTGCCATCAGATACTGATGAATGTCGAACGTAAATCGAAATTTCCGTTTATTATCTACTCGTATTCGGGCTCCGGTAGTAGTAGTAGTAATAGTGCCGGTGCTAGTGGTGGTGTTGGTGGTAGTAGTAGTGGTGGTGTCGGACTACTATCGGCCGAACTGAGATCCACTGACGGCTACTACGAAGTGAATGCATCGATAACACGGCCCGGTTCAGGGTTTGCCGATCCCGACGATACTACCCGTCCGTTTGGTTTTATTGTATCAGCATTTGCCACCTTTCCCGGCGAAGACAGCGACCGATTGGAACGGAACTGGATATCGTGGACAGGTATGTACTGAAAAAAAAACTGACCAAAAAAAATTATTTATAGTAATGATACAAAAAAATAATATAATTAATTAAAATTAAAATACAGTATATGCTATTATATTTTAATAATTAGTTATTTTTTTGATTATATTAAACATTTTTTTTTGATTATATTAAACATTTTTTTTTATTTAATTAAATTATTATACATTTTTTGTTGTTGATGTGGTTTATGACTAAATAAATTTCTAATAATTAGATTAATAATAATTATATTTATTTGTTTTTTAATTGGTATTTAATTTAATTAATTAATTAATTAAAAATGTTATATAATAATCCTAGTTTAATTATGATTATTATATACAAAAAAAATAGAAATTATTATAATAATTAATTTAATAAACTAAATCACTATCTTCAATTTTTTTTAATTGCAAATATCTTATAATTATAAAATTATTTGCATTTATATAATTAGCATAAATTAATATATATATATATAATTATTATATTTGTAATATAAAATAGTTAAATATTATAATTATTAATTTATTTTATAAATATCTAACATTAATTAATAAAAATCAATAATTTATATACTGTTCGAATGCAAAACTATTTTCGCTTTATTTGCATATTATTAAATTTTATATAATTAAAAAACTATTATATTTTTATTAATTATATAATCGTAATTTGATTCTCAATCATATTTTCATTTGTCTGAAAAAAATTGAATACCGTCCACTAATTACTATTATTATTACTATAATTACTAATTATTAGAAAATACTATTATCTAAATTAATTTTATTAAAAAATTATAATTTATTAAATTAATAATATTCAATATACAGTATTTGATTAATGCAAAACTAATTAGCATTATTTACATTACATTATCTACTAAAGTCTATTGATTTTTAATTGTCTATAATATACTAAATAAATAGTAAACTAAATATAAATTTTTTATTGTTTTGATTAAATTAAATTGATTCGGTTTAATCAATATTAGATTGTATATATTATCTCTAAATATATATATATATTGTTTATTATATATATATAAATATATTTATTACTTATACCAAGCTAAACTAAAAATTATATATATATAATACAATTATAGCATCCTTAAAACAATTAATTTATACAAATACAGAATATTCTGTATAATATTATAAAATACATTTGAATTTTAAATTGTTTTATCAATTTGAGACACAAACACACACACAGAAACACTATACAACAAAAACATTTATACAATCAATTAATACAATATAAAATAATGTTATTATATAAGACAAAAACACACACACATACACATACACATACAGTACATACATAAACACATACATACATACACACACACACACACACACACACGCAACAAAACAAACACATAAAATACATTAATTGATTCAAAATCCTAGATCTGTGTTTTATTTGTGTTAAAACATAGTGACATTAAATGTTGGCTTATATTATACCCAAAATAAAAAAACATTGCATAAAACAGAGAGAGAGAGAAAGAAAGTTTTATTATTATTATATCTTTAATGGTTTTTTGTTAGGCACTTGTATTACACAATAGTATCCAAACTACTTAAATACTGTACAATAAGTTTGATTTTATTTTGTTTTTTTTTCTTATTGCAATACTTTTGTTTTTTTTTGGTGAAACATAGAGACAATAGTTAAAAGAAAATATATTTTATTGAAATACAACATCGCATTGAAAATGTATAGCAATTTATTTTGATGTCTGATTTCGACTTAAGTAAGTGAGAGATAGATAGAGAAAGAGAGAGAAAGAGAGAGAGAGAGAGAGATGTCGTTAAAGAAAATTAAGATTTTATTATTATTATTGTTTTATTTATCTTTTACTTAGAGAGTAAACAAAACTAAATAAGTGTATTATAAAACTAATAATACTAATAATAAAAAACATAATAAATATATTTTGTTTAAATAAAGTTCATATAATAAAAAATCTCATTAAAATTGATAGACAAAAAAATGTAAATAAATTTTTAATTTTAATTTCAATATATTTTTTAAAAATAAATTTGTGTTAAATATATTTAATAACTGCATCTATAATATTGTCTAAAATATATACTGTATTAACATGTATTAGAAATATTAAATATATTGATTTGATAGCAAATTATTTAACCCAGTAGTACCCGTATATAACAATACAATATAAATAATTACATATTGATTTATAAATAAATAAATATCAATATTTTTTTTTGTTTAGTATAGAGAGAGAGAGAGAGAGAGAGAGAGAGAGAGAGAGAGAGAGAGAGAGGGAGAGAGAGAGAGACAGTATATAAATATTAATTTTCTCAATTGTTTATCAATTACTAAATCAATTCCTAAATTACTGTTGAAGTTATAGAGAGCACCGGCACATCAAAGTGATTGATGGATTCAGTTTTGTCAATCTATCCGTCCATTTAATGACTTTCTCTATTACAGTGTTATTAGTGTGTGTGTGTGTGTGTGTGTGTGTGTTTGTGTGTGTGTGTGTGTGTGTGTGTATGTATGTATATATATATATGTGTGTGTGTATGTGTTTAGTAATCATTCAATTTAATAGCAAATTTTCAGAGACAACATAACATGTCTACACAGTTGACTAATTCTCTTAGTATTACTACTACTACTACTACTACTACTACTAAAGCTAGACAAACACACAACTAATCTAACGGTGCTCTAGATTTTAGTTACAAAAAAATTAAGGCATAAACTAAATATATATATATATATATAATATATAGTATAAATAATATGTATAAAGTATAATAATTGAGAAAATAAAATTATCAAAAAAAAATCTTAGTAGTATAAATCCATTAAAACTAAAATGTTTTACTTATAGCTAGAAAACAGTGTATTTGTATATTTATATTGATTTTGTATCTCAAATGTTTTTATTTCAATAAAATAATTTGATTTATATTGTATTTGTATTATAATAATAGTACAATTGATTTTTATATGCTATTATTTATACAGTATATATAGATATTTATATTGTTTTGTAAATTGATTTATTTATAGTCTATTTTAAACATTTTATATGTTATACTAAATCAATATTTTTTTCATTAAATATATTTAAATTATATTTTTATTAAAGAAAAAGTATTAAATTAGTATAAATAAGTATAAATATATTAAGTAAATATTTTTAAAATTTAGTAGTTTTAATTAAAATATTATTTAACTTAAAAATTAATTTAATAAATTGTTATGAAAATTTGTATAAAATATTATATATAATTATATTAATATTTTATTCAATACTACTGTTTATCTAAAATAATAAATATTTTTAGTTACAATTTATTATTATTTTTTAAAATTTTGTTTAGTTATTTTGTAAATATTTTTTTGTTGGTATTTTTATTTGATTTATTTTGTTATCAATAATAAAAAAAATAAATATTTTTTTTGCAAAAGAATATACTGTAAATACTTTCAAATGAAAAATTTTGATTTATTGTTATATATTTATATACAATATATATAGTATATATATATAATATATAATATATAGTATATATTGTATTATATACCAGTATATAAATAAATATTTTTTGGTGTAATTTATATTTATTTGTTACACACTTATGAAAACAAAACTACAAATAATAATATTTCAAACACACTTTCGCTCACTTATTATATCAAAACAAAAACAATATACAAAAAAAATAGTCAAACAATTTAAACAATAATCATAAATCAAATTATTTAGTTATTATTATTATTATTATTTGTTTTGTAAAAATATACTCTAAATAGTAGATTATAATTATAGTTATAATTATATATTTATTTATTTATACTGTATTTATATATAATTTATATAATGCAATATGATTTAACAATTTTTTTTATATATAATATTATACAAACTATATATATTTATTTTTAAAAATAAGTATCAATATAAATATGATATACATAATCTAAATATATATTATAAATATAGTATTTTAGTATTAAAAATTGTTAAAAATTTATTTTATTAATAAACTACAATTTTTTTAAAAAAATAATTATAAATCAAACTATACTTTTATTTTTATAGTATTTAATTATGTTTAAATTTGAATTTAATTAATTAATACCAACAGTTAAAACAATTTTTAAAAAAATTATTATTACTCAGCTGTTTAATATTAATTGATTTGGTATTTTGTATATAAAAAATAATTTTATTAAATTTGTTATAATATTTTTAGAAATATTTTATAAATCCTAAGTTATTGTTTTGTTAAAAAAAATTAAAAATATAAATTTACTATACATACAGCTGTATATATATTATACATTATGGATACATACATATAAAACTCATATTTATTTTTTTTATTATATATATATACTAAAAATAAATTACTATAAATATTATATTATATTTTTATTATAAACTTGCCTACAGGTGCCCGCATACTATACAAATACCTGCCAATGTGTGTCGGACTGCGACGCCTACTGTTTCTCAAACGAGTTAAACAACAACAACCGTACAGAGATTTAGACTATGCCGGTGGTGGTGGTGGTAGTGGTGGAGGAATGGGAGGTATGGGAGGTCATCATCATCCACAACAACAACAACAACATCATCATCAACATCACACCCATGGCTTTACTTATGTACTGTTGTGCGAGTGTTTTAACCTAAAGGTTAACACAGTTGCCAGTGTTTGTACGACTATTGACCAGCTAAGAGCCCGGTGCTGCGGCTATAGTGCATTGTATATCAATCAATTACAATAGGATATGATTGGGATTGGATAGGATATAGGGGGTAGTTTAGATTAGTTAGCAAAAGTGCCAAGATACAAATTTAATTATACCCTATTTATATTATATATATATATATTTAAACTGTATAACTATCGTATTTAAAAAAACCATGGTAATACGGTAATTAATTATGTTAATAATACAATTACTGTATATTGTATATACTGTATGTAATTAATTGTATATATATATATATATATAAATATATATATACTGTATGTGTGTGTATGTGTGTGTGTTTTTTGTATTAAAATTAATAATAATAATAATAAGATATCAAATTTATCTAGATGGTTTTATTTTTTATTTATACTATTTTTTTAGTTTTTAAATTAATTACAATAAAAAAATTTTAAATGAGATATGTGATTTGTGTGTATGCTAAAAGTTTAGATACTGTAAGTAAACAATTTGATGATAATGCTAAACAAAAATTATTAAATGAGCTTGTTAATACTTGATTGATAAATTGTTGATATTTATAAAATTTAATTAAATGATTGACTAAACAAAAATAATTTTAATAGCTATTGAATGTATTGTATAACAAAATTTTTTATCATCTCTATTGTAATGTTTAACAAAAAATTAAATAAATAAAAGTATAATAATATTCAATATATTATAGTATAGTATTAATTATTATTATTATTATATATTGAATATTTATAAAGTTAATAAAATGCAATTAAATGTTATTGTTATTATTATTATTGTTGTTAATTATATTTTAAATGATTAGTATTTAATCCAATAATGAATAATTAAATTTTATTAAAAAAAATTAAGACTATAGCTATAATTATTATATTTTACTATTTAGTAAACAAAACAAAATTATACAACGAAATTTTCAAAATAATTATTATTTTTATTTATTAATTAGTCATTAAAATAACACTATTGTATTTATTGTAAATTTAATGTTAAAAAAAGTTATTTAATATTAAATATTATCAAAAATAATTATCAATATATATATATCTTCTGAATTGATACAAATTTTTTGTAATTAAATTAACTAAAAAACTAAAAAATAATAAAACCTTTTAAAACAATGTGTAAATGTAATGATTTTATTTTTTTAAAGTTTTTAATTATTATAATTTGTTCATATTAATTTATTATAATTTTAAACAAATTGTTGTTATTGAAAAATATCTATTATTTATACAATAGTAAAATGTGTTATATATTTATAATAATAATTTTTTTTAAAAACATATGTAATATTTTATTATTTTTTATTATTTTGGAAATTAAATACTAATAATTTTAGTACGAAAATAATTTATATATAAAATTTATTGTTAATGATTATAATTATTTAAACCTTTTTTTTATAAAACACTTATAATAAAATTATTATTTAATAATTTATTAGTAAATAAATAAAAAAAATGATAAAAGAAATATTATTAATTAAAATATTATATAAAACAATAATCTAATTATAAAAATTTATACTTAAAGTTCAATAAACTTTACAACAACCAAAAATAATTTATTATTAAATAATTTTTATTTAATTTTTTAAATAAGTTAATTAAAATACATAAATATAATGATAATTTATATATGTATGATAAATTTTTAAAATGCGAAATAATTTTTATTTAGTAGTTTAAATGTTTTTAATTTATTATTTAGGTTAGTTTAGTATTAGTTTATTTTTTTTAAATTAAAATAATTTTTAATAAATTTACTATAATTTTATTAGTATAATAATTAATATGAAATAATCTACTTAATAATAATAATAATAATTGATTAAATTTAATATTAATTGATTATTAATTACAAATGAATAAATTTCAATAAAATCATCTCAAGTTTTAATTATTCAAATGATAATAATATTAATATTTTTTAAACTCATTTAATAAATTAGTTTTAATTAAAAAAAATGTTTACAAAAAATATAACAACAACAATAAGTCGAAAAATTATAAATTAAATTTATGGGAAACAATATAATTAATTAATTAATTAACACAAAAATATTTATTTGAGAAATGTTTATATTATTGTTGTTGTTGTTGTGTTATTTGCATCAACTAAATGGTGACGACCAGCAACTACTACCAACTGGCCAACAAAACTGTGCTCAAACCATACACAAGGGATGCCTGAATCCCTATCGACCGACGGAACAGGAGATAAACAATGCCCGGATCTACATACAGACCCGATTTATGCATGAATCGCAACTGAAACCCACATTACCTGCCTGTCCTCGGCTGTACGTACGCCAGAATTTCAAATGTATGACACACGAGGAACGGCTACAAGTGATCCGTGTCCTCAAACAATTGTATGCCAACGGGTTTATGTGGGAATTGGCATCAATTCATGCAAAATGTTGGATACCATGGCATAAGACTGTGGAAAGTTTGTTTGCCCACCGATGGATAACCAATAAACTTGAACGAGAAATGTTACGAATCGATCCCACAGTTACCATACCTTATTGGGTAAGACACCCCCAGACACCCCCACCCAACCACCTTTCCTATGTACAGTAATTTTTGGGGTTAGACATAGCTATATACTGTATACTATACTATATACAGTAAATATAAATTACATACATAAGCAGGAAAATAGGGTACATTTAGTGAGTGAGTGAGTGAGTGAGTGAGTGAGTGAGTGAGTGAGTGAGTGAGTGAGTGAGTGAGTGAGTGAGTGAGTGAGTGAGTGAGTGAGTGAGTGAGTGAGTGAGTGAGTGAGTGAGTGAGTGAGTGAGTGAGTGAGTGAGTGAGTGAGTGAGTGAGTGAGTGAGTGAATGAGTGAGTGAGTGAGTGAGTGAGTGAGTGAGTGAATGAGTGAGTGATTGAGTGAGTGAGTGAGTGAGTGAGTGAGTGAGTGAGTGAGAGATTGTTACTAATTTTTATTATAAAAATAATAATAATATTATTAGATATTAGCTGAAGATTGTTCGGCACCGCACGAGTCGCTAATATGGGACTACTTTGGCCGCACCGGTACCAACACTAGCGACTACTGTGTACCTGATTGCCCGTTTCGGTCGGAAACCGGTAATCGTTGTATTAGACGCCAGTGGCTACCGGACGGAACTATAGCCCAGTGGTCGTGTCCTGAAGTGGAAGAGCATATCATTAATTTAAACATACCTTTCTATGTCATATTGTTTGGCGCATTGAGCCTACATTTCAAACAGCATTTGAATATTGGCGGCTGGAATGGACACTACAGTGACGACTGGGCGCCATATGAGTAATATTTATATATATATATAAAACTCTTAATTAATTAATCTCTTTCTCTCTCTCTCTCTCTCTTTCTTTCTCTCTCTCTCTCTCTCTCTTTCTCTCTAACTCACTCTCTCACTCACTCACTCACTCACTCACTCACTCACTCACTCACTCACTCACTCACTCACTCACTCACTCACTCACTCACTCACTCACTCACTCACTCACTCAATCTATTAACTAATATGAAACAAAAATCCTGTTTTTTATATACAGTACTCATTAATCAATTTTTGTCTCTATTTTTACTCACCCCTACCTCTACCCCACCACCAATCCCACCAAAAACGCCCCAACCACCCCCACACAGTTTTGTATTTCATATGCACCATACCTACTATACGGACTGTTATATGGCCCGTTGGCAATTAACCAATTCAGCGCACTTGACACCCGTCCAGGATTACAATCAACTATTTCGATACGATCCGGACAATAGACAACAGCCGCTAAAATCGGCTAATTTGGCTACCGATCAGCTGTGCCACTATCGGACACCTGTACGCGACACGTTTCACTTGGGTTTCGGTGACCAATGTTTTGTATGCGACCAACTAGTATGGGCTGCCAATCAGCTATGGCTTCAGCAAACATCAGCTAATAGTAGTAGTGATAGTAATAATTATAATAATGACAATCCGTTTGTAACGGTCGGCGGTGTAATCGGTGACCGCCGACGAGGCCTATTGACTGATCCAAACCTGAACTGTAATCCCCAGTGTCGGCGTATGCCTTATCCTCCTGACTATCGATCGCATAGCACTGGTAGACGACATCTACTGAAAATGCAAACCGATGGCCAACTGGACGCTAGTATGGCTACCCTATGGGCCGAAAATGCCGTCAATTTTTCGATAGGTTTAACTAATATGAATACAAGTTATTGTTCACCATATGTTAATAATAATTAAATGTTAATAATTAAATGTTAATAATTAAATGTTAATAATTAAATTATAATAATTAATAATGAATTTATTTTAGAGGAGATGTTATATATATTTTTTTAAATTAAAGATAAAAATAATACTATTTATTGTTAAATATATATATAAAAAACTTTAATAATATTTACTGATAGCTTAATAAATTTTTATAAAATAATTTTTTAAAAATAGTATCATGAATTTAGTATTAGTATTTAAATTATTATCAATATATCTAAATATACAGTCAGTAAGTTATATTTAATTATAATTTGTTATAGTTTATATCAGTAATTATTGTATAATAATAATAGTATATAAGTGATATTACTAATTATAAAAAAATATTTGATATATTGTATTTTTTTTAATTAATAGTATAAATATTTATTATTAAATTAATTAATTATCTATAAACTATAAGAAATTAATTACATGTTTTTTGTTTGTATTTTAGGTAATAATTATTTTTTTTATTTATTAGACTTGATATCAAAACGAAATTATTTTATAAAAAAATAATTATTAAATATTCATTGATATTATAATATAAAGATAATAATAATACTAAAATAATTATTTATATACTGTATATTATGTATACATAATTTAGATTAGCATCGGATCATAAAATGATATTTTATTTAACAATTTATAGATAAATATATTACTACTAATTATATGTATTATTAATTAATTACGAATATTTTTTTTGAACAAATAAAGTTATTAATCGTTAAATTAAAAATATCAATATTTTTTGTTGGACTAAACGATTATCATAAATATAAATTTATAAAAACTTTAATTATTATGATATAATATATATTAATGTCTAACGTTTAACATGTTTGACAACAAACTTCATTGAACTGGTCAGACCCGGTATGGCTAATATTGATAGCCGGCGCTTGTAGTCATCATAATTGCTGCCGTCATCACTACTACAATCACCCACTGATCGTTTGGACCCAGTTGTTATCATTTGGACAGCCATACGGCGCAACTCCTGGTCCCGGCGTGTATTGAGCATCGGATGTACTTTCAACAACAGTATGGCCATGGATGCCGATCGGAGTACCAGAAACAACACCACCAGCATATTGGTATTGAAATAGTAATCCGGGTCATCCAAGTCAAACATATACATAATATAGGAGAACTCTTGGCCGGTTAGGCAACGATCGAAACCATAGAAATGTATAATCAGGGACTCGAAGGTTAGTTTCAATGGATTCAGATTACTGATAGCCCGGAGCGCATAGTGTAGCTCTTTGGCCGGTAGGAAAAAATTACAAAACAATATGAATAGTATGAATACGCCGACACCAGTAAATACAGCCGTACGCTGGTGGCCCATAAATGTTAGGCCAACTATATGGCCAACAGATTGGATGGTCAGACCGCCGAGTAATAGATAGCTGACCAGTGCTACGACCATATTGTTATCGACTGATGAGTATATGTTTACGGCCATTGAAAATACAATCATAATTATGATGGACGGTATGATTTCGACTACTGTATGGGCCCAGTAGTAGGTGCCGGCACTGTACCAACCTATGTGTGTATAAATGTATTTTATTTATTTTTTAGTATTGAATGTTGAATTGAAATTGTTAAACAATTATTTTTTTTTTAAAAAATACTATATTAGTCCATAAATATTATAATTATTATTAAATGAATTGTAAATAAATAAAGTTTTTTAATTACCATTTCGGTGTTCATTGAAAAATATCATCAAATCTGCCGAATAGTTAAATGTCGTCAAAATTATATTGTAAAACATTGCCAATGCTATGACAAAAAACAGGTATTTTGTATTATCCATCACCCGATCCTCATCCCGGAGCTGACGTTCAGTTTTGGCACAAGTATTGTTCAGATCGTCCGATTCAAAATTGGCACAACCGTTGGCCAGTGCTATGTCCGGACTGAATACTAAACGTAACATTAGGGCAACCATTAGATAGACTACCAGTTCCATCAAAAGAAACATCCAGTGAAAGGCAAACAAGTAGTTTAGGTTACGGGATATGAGTACCCATAGGTCAGCTAATAGGAAACGTTTACTTTGCAATCGTATACCGTCGACGGCCATTACCAGTTCCCCAGGACTGCGGGCATCAATTTGTTTGAGTTCCGAAGCCCGAGTCCGACTAACCAATCGGTCGATTACCTTATCATCACCCGGTCGGCCGAGACAACAATGGCCGAGTAGTGTCTCAATGGGCAGCTGTTGTGGTTGACAGTCAGCTTCTACTTCGGCTAGCGTTAGCTTCAATTGATCGCCGGGTCGGTCGGCGTAGACTACTTGGCCGCCGGCGGCCATTACATACAACTTATCGAACAACATCAGTATTTCGTTACTCGGCTGATGTATGGATGCAATGGCACAGATCCGATGCCGACGGCTGAGTCTTTGCATACACTGTATGACAGTTTCGGCGGCCGAACTGTCCAGACCGCTGGTTGGTTCGTCAATACACAAGAGATTAGGTTTGACCGACGATACCAATTCCATACCAATAACCAGTCGTTTGAGTTCACCGCCACTCAAGCGATCGACCGGTGTGTCCAATGTGTTATAGATGGACAGCTCGAGCATCAGCGACAAGATTATCATTTCGTGTCGCGATCCGTCCCGAATGTCCGGGTTTTTTAATCGGGATGCATATGTCATGGCCTGACGGGCCGTCAATCCCCGTACTATACGTTCGCGTTCGTCCTGAACAATATAACACGGCTTCAGTCGCTGACTGTTGCTTACGTAGATCGACGTCTCCGGAGTCAGATCTTCACTGTACAGTCCGTTAATACACTTCAACAACGATGTCTTTCCCGCACCGGACGGTCCCATCAGTGCATTGAGCGACGGAAACTCAAAATAACCGTTTAGTTGGCGAAGAATTGTCTTATCCGTCGAAGACGACGACCTGAACAACGATTCGCTTACCTTCAGTGTCAGGTCTGTCCACGCAATAGCCATCACTGTAGTCGGATGTTTCTGATCTTGAGTTTCGGTAACTGATTCACTGTTGTTGTTGTTACGATCGTCGCTAAGATCGCTGGCCATTGTCGCTATCGATGACTTTGCATGCGATATGATTGACGACATACAGCGTTTCGTTGTCGACTGTCTGCGACTATAGTCGACATCCATGTCCATCACTACAGACTTTTCTGATAAACTATTCGTGTCATTGTCCTCTTCATCATCGGTTACAGATATTTTTTGTTTACTATTATAAGTTACCGATTGTTGGCTATCGGTGTCACCGCCGCCGCCGGATGTCCTTCTATTCAGACAACTAATCCGAGTCGACAGAGTGGTCTTAGCCAATAACAATACGAAAGCTGTTAACCTGAATACCACTGCCGTCACAGCCAACCCGTAGGCATAGTTGACCAGTTGGTTGTCGCCTGTATCAGGTGACCACTGTTCACTAATGCCAAATTTGCGTAATTGTATCGATCGTAAGGGTTCGGGACATCGGCCCAAACCGTAGACGGCCAAAAAGTGGCCATTTAGCTGGAATTTCAGGAAAACAAAATCGCTTAGGTAGCCAAACACGGGCGGCAATCGGCCAATAATTATGAAAAAGTTACAAAACAAAATCATAATCGAGTATAAGACAATTGAGCCGATTGTAGCCAACTGGCCATAGTTGACCAGTGCTATACCAATACAATGGGCCAGTCCTTCCGTACAAAGAAAGCCGCCGATCATTATGCCGACATACCATAGAAGACGGTCGGGCGGATCAAGCGATTGGCCGCTTAATAGGTAGACAAGTGTGGCGTATTCGGTGGCCAATAGTAGGGTCAGAAAGGTTTCGACAATGGATTTGCCCCAGAAATAGGCACCCGTACTATACCAGCCTATTATATATATATATATAGTTTAGTATAAATAAACATACGATTTATTAAAAATGCACTTAAATATAGATTATGTAAATATTATCATTAATAATCAATAATTGTAGGTATATACTAAAATAAAAATAATAAATAAATAATACTAACTGTTATAATGTTCGCTAATAAATATTTTGATGTCAACCAAATAGACCTGACATGTAGAGGACAGGTGTATAAACTGGGATATAATTGCTGCAAAAAATAGTAGATTCGGATTCTGGAAGATAAGCGAATCGTTTTCCAATGCCTCCACACATGACGTACCATTGGATAGGGCTATCCTAATGGGATCGTAACAGGCGTCAGGTTTGCCAACATTTTCGTTAAACATCGACATTGTTATAATGGGAAACAGCATATAGAAGCCTAACTGTACGGCCAATTGTCGCCATTGAGCCAGAAATATAGTATGAGCCGATCGCCTCATAATATGCCAGACATCAGCCAATCGGAACCCTTTCGGTCGCAATTCAATACCGTTAGGACTGTCCAGTAAATCGGACTGATTTTGCTGGACAGTACTCAGCACCGATAGTCTAGATGTTTCTCTAGTTTTATCTAACAGTTCGCCAATATGCTGTTCCTGTAACAGTTCAATAGAGGCTAACTTCAACAGTTGTTCGATGGGCACCTGTACCATATCGCATATAATATTACACTCATCCAGATAACTGTCCACCCGTTCAGGTGGTCCATCGAAAATACAGTTCCCACCTTTGGCCAGAACATAGAGTTTATCAAACGAGTAGACAATTTCGTTGTTGGGCTGATGTATACTAGTTATGATGGCTATCCTATGCAGTCTACCTATACTTTTCAAACAATCCATTACCTGGAAATAAAAAAAAATTTAAAAAAATTTAGTTACACTTAAATATCGAAAAATTATTTTTTGTGATTAAATTATGCAATTAGAAAAATTTATATTTAATTATAGTTTAATTAAAAAAGTGTGTGTGTATGAATATACTATTTTTTAATATTAATATTTTAATTTTAATAAAAAAATAAATAATAAAAAATAATTTAGTAATATTATTTATCAAATAACACTACAAAACGGGTATCGTTCAAAATATCCAAAATTATTATTATTATATATATATATAAATGAAAATATTCAAAATAATATTTCAATAATAAATCAAAAAAAAATATTTATAATAACAACTAAAATTACAATATTACTCTAAATTGTAATTATAATAATTATTTTTGAATATTTTTATTTAAATTAATTCATTTGGATAATTTTGATATTATAATTATTATTTTAGAAATATTATTTTGTTTATTTTTGATAATTAAATATATTTATATATTTTAAATTAGATATTAAAAGTTTGGATATTTTTGGATGACAACCAAAACGATACAAAATAAAGTTTAATACTATAGTATTAGTGTTTATAAAACAATATATAATAAAATCTTTTATTTAAGGGTTTCCCTAGGAATTCCCACAGTAGGAGCAACAGGGAATATAGGGAACATTTTTTAGGAAAATAAAAAAAAGAGAATTATTACTGAACCCTAAGTATACATTATGTTTGACATTAATAGTAATAATAGTAATAATAATTAATATAAAAACAAATACATACGGCACAGGCAGCCACACTGTCGAGTCCAGTGGTAGGTTCATCAATACACAAGACATTAGGCTTAACCAATTTGGTCATTTCGACGGCAATGGTTAGGCGTTTTTGTTGACCACCCGAGCACTTGGCCACTATTGTATTGGCGATACCATCTATGGTTAGCTCACGGAGCACTTGACGCACATTTTCTTCGTGATCTATAGGTTGTCCTCTTTCTAGTCCAGTGTTCTTCAATTTGGATGCATATAACATATTCTGGCGGACAGTCAAACACATAATCAGGTGTTCCCGGGCGTGTTGGCCAACAAAACACGATTCAATTGGCTGCCGACGACTCAGGTATATCCTGGAGTCGGCCGATAGTCCACCCATTGATAGCCTTCCGTTCAGACATTTTAATAGTGTTGTTTTGCCGGCACCTGAAGGTCCCATTAGGGCTACAATACTACCGAATTCGGCCGAACCGTACAGTTGATTGAGTATTGTTTTCTCTGCTGGACTACTGGTGCACATTTTCCACCGGTTCCTGACTGTGTAGGTCAGGTTTGACCAACAAATGGCCACATCTGATGTCGACATAATTATTATTTTATAGTAATTTTATTCAATTGTTTTATTTAAAAATTATTATTATATAATCAATATTATATAATATTATCGCTTTTGATAAATCATTTATCTTAATATATATTAGGAAATCGATTTTTAAAGTAATTTTTTTTAAATAAATCACTGATTAGTATTATTATTATTTTATTTTGTTTTTTACTTTACAAAATTTTATATGATATTTTATCATTTGACGTGATATATATTAATAATTATATATTGTATATCACATCATATACTAGGATGCAGTCACTGGACACAATTACTAATAAATTTGTTGATTACAAAAAATTGATTACATTTTTCATTTAATAAATTGTTATAAAATGAATTATATTATATATTTTGTATTTTAAAAATTCAAGATTTAAAATTATATTATACTTTTTAAAACACACACACATATATATATATATATATATATATACTAGTATATATTAACATAAACACACATATGCACTTTAGTAAACACACACATACACACACATACACACACATACACACACATACACACACATACACACACATACACACACATACACACACATACACACACATACACACACATACACACACATACACACAAACATACACACACATACACACACATACACACACATACACACACATACACACACATACACACACATACACACACATACACACACATACACACACATACACACACATACACACATACACATACACATACACACACATACACACACATACACACACATACACACATACACACACATACACACACATATGCATACATACATAAACATACATACATACACATACATACATACACATACATACATACATACACACACATACACACACATATGCATACATACATAAACATACATACATACACATACATACATACACATACATACATACATACATACATACACACACATACACACACATATTGATATTTTGTTGATAACCTTCATCAACTTTTGCACTCATATAAAATTAGATAATATTATGTTTTATTAATTTAACTATAGTATTTATTTTGTCAATCAATTATATTTTTTTTATCAATATATGTCTCCTATATTGAAAATTATAAATATTAATAAAACAAAAATTTTCATCATATTTCTAATGTATCATATATTGTATATACTTATATACTGTACTTATTATATTGTTGCTATATTTAGCATAAAAAAATTTTAGGTGCAATTTTTTGTTTTGTTTACTGTAGTTAAACTATTTAATTTAATTTAAAATATTATTTTTAAAAACAAACTTAAGTTAAGTACAAATAATTAATAATATTCAATTGGGATAATTCCTATTTTACTATAACATAGAATTTAGCTAGATAATAATTAGGAATTGTTATATATATATATATATATATATATATATATATATCAATATATAATTTTTATTATAAAAATACAGTACATATATAGATAAAAATTATTATATATAATATTATATTTTAAATCTATTAATTTATAATATTATATAATTTATATTTATATTTATAAAATATATGTTATTAATATTATAATATATTCAGTATATTATATATATTCATTTAATTATAATATATTTTTTATTTTATATATAAAGTAATTATATTAGTATATTAAATTTATATTAATTTTTGAGACTCAAAAAAAGCTTCAAAACTATAATAAAATAATTTTTTGTTTTATTTAAATCAATTTAATTCAATGCTTAAAATTCAAATTTGTTTTTTAAAACCTGAGGATATAAATTTTATAATTTACATAAAATGTAAACATATTTATATAAATTATTTTAGTTATTTGAAACATTGTTTGCTTTATAAGATTATATCAATCAAACAACATCTATAACTTTTTTGAATTATTATTAATTTTATGTTTAACTAATTAGTACAAAAAAATTGTTTTAAAAAAATCAATGTTATGTACTTATTATTTAAAATATTCATATATATTTGAAAATGCACCTAAAAATTAATTTATTTAACATTTAGTATATACAGTATATAACTTATATATAGTATAATCATTTATAGGTTAAATAACATTCAATATTAATAATAATATTTACTAATGATTGCTTAATAAATTCAAAAAATAATTTTTTTAATAATATAAAATAATATTTTAATAGTTAATAAGTACATTATATTTGTATGAAAATTAATTAAAAAAATTTATAAAACAAAATACTTAATATAATTTATATTGTATAAAATTTAAATTATAAATATTTTAATTAAATTAATTATAAATTTTAATAACTTAATTAAGATGTTTATTATTTTTGTATTTTAATTTTAACTATATTTATTTTTCTAATAATTTTTTTTTAAAAACAAATAAATTTATTTATCGTTAAATATAAAAATATCACTATTTTTATTGGTATAAAAATCTTTATATTGAATATATATATATATATATATAGTACTAAAAGATTAATTAAAAAAAAATTATATACACTTTAATACATTATTTATGATATATACTGATATATATTAACGTTTAACATGTTTGACAACAAACTTCATTGGACTGGTCAGACCCGGTATGGGCAACACTGATAGGCGGCGCTTGTACTCATCATAATTGCTGCCGTCATCACCACCACCACCATCACCTACTGATCGTTTGGACCCAGTTATCATTTGGACAGCCATACGGCGTAACTCCTGGCCCCGACGGGTATTGAGCATCGGATGAACTTTCATCAACAGTATGGCCATGGATGCTGAACGGAGTACCAGAAACAACACTACCAGCATATTGGTATTGAAATAGTAATCCGGGTCATCCACGTCAAACATATACATAATATAGGAAAACTCTTGGCCGGATAGGCAACGATCGAAACCATAGAAATGTATAATCAGGGACTCGAAGGTTAGTTTCATTGGATTCAGATTACTGATAGCCCGGAGCGCATAGTGTAGCTCTTTGGCCGGTAGGAAAAAATTACAAAACAATATGAATAAGATAAATACGCCGACACCAGTAAATACAGCCGTACGCTGGTGGCCCATAAATGTTAGGCCAACTATATGGCCAACTGATTGGATGGTCAGACCGCCGAGTAATAGATAGCTGACCAATCCTACGACCATATTGTTATCGACTGATGAGTATATGTTTACGGCCATTGAAAATACAATCATAATTATGATGGTCGGTATGATTTCGACTACTGTATGGGCCCAGTAGTAGGTGCCGGCACTGTACCAACCTATGTATGCATAAATGTATGGTAAATAATAAATTACTATTAGTATATACTGTATAATAAATTTTGTAAAGTTTATTTATTTAGATTAAAATTTAATTTTTTTATATAATTAATTAATTAAATAAACTTAAATGCAAATAAAAAAATAATAATTTATATTATTTTTTATTTGAATAAATATTTATTTATTTATTAAATTACTTTTTTATATTAATATTTATGTTTGAGTCAATATAAAGTATCAATATTTGTAAATTACAGTATATTTACAAATACATAAATAATATTTATATAAAAAACAACAATTGAATCTATTATACTATAATATATATATATATATATTGTAGTATTTTTTAATCATTAATTAATCATATATTAAATCTTGTAAAACTATATAAGTTTATCAAAAAATATATATAAAAATAACTAAACAATTATTAAAAATACTAAACTATTAGGAATTTATTATTAAAATTTTTTAATTTTAAATTATACTTAAAAATACTTGTAACTGGATATCAACTAATGTATACCTAATAATAACTAATTATTTATTGTCTAAAATTATGCTTAAATTAAATTACTACAGTTTTAATATAATTTTTTTTAAAGTATTGAATGTTAAATTGGAAATTGTTAAAACAAAAATTTTTCTAAAAAATATACTCTATTAGTATATAAATATTAATAGTATTAGAATTTAAATAATTGTAAATAAATTTAATAAATTTTTATAAAAAAATATTTATTTTTTTAATTACCATTTCTGTGTTCATTGAAAAATATCATCAAATCTGCCGAATAGTTAAATGTCGTCAAAATTAGATTATAAAACATTGCCAATGCTATGACAAAAAACAGGTATTTTGTATTATCCATCACACGATCCTCATCCCGGAGCTGACGTTCAGTTTTGGCACAAGTATTGTTCAGATCGTCCGATTCAAAATTTGCACAACCRTTGGCCAGTGCTATATCCGGACTGAATACTAAACGTAACATTAGGGCAACCATCAGATAGACGGCCAGTTCCATCAGTAGGAACATCCAGTGAAAGGCAAACAAGTAGTTTAGGTTACGGGCTATGAGAACCCGTAGGTCGGCCAACAGGAATCGTTTACTTTGTAATCGTATACCATCACCTGCTACTACCAGTTCACCGGGACTGCGGGCTTCAATTTGTTTGCGTTCCGAAGCCCGAGTCCGGCTAACCAATTGATCGACTACCTTATCATCACCCGGTCGGCCGAGACAACAATGGCCGAGCAGTGTCTCAATTGGTAGCTGTTGTGGCTGACAGTCGGCTTCTACTTCGGCTAACGTTTGCTTCAATTGATCGCCGGGTCGGTCGGCGTATACTACTTGGCCGCCGGCGGCCATTACATACAACTTGTCGAACAACATCAGTATTTCGTTGCTCGGCTGATGTATGGATGCAATGGCACAGATCCGATGTCGACGGCTGAGTCGTTGCATACACTGTATGACAGTTTCGGCGGCCGAACTGTCCAGACCGCTGGTTGGTTCATCAATACATAAGAGGTTAGGTTTGAYTATCGATACCAACTCCATGCCAATGACCAAACGTTTGAGTTCACCGCCGCTGAGCTGATCAACCGGTGTATTCATTGTGTTATAGATGGACAGTTCGAGCATCAGTGACACGACAATCATTTCGTGTCGCGACACGTCCCGGATGTCCGGGTTTTTCAATCGGGATGCATAGGTCATGGCCTGACGGGCCG